AGAGGTATGGGAAGGCCAGAGGAGGACAACAGTGTCTTCCTGTGTTGTTTTTTGCCTTATTTCTTGAGACAAGGTCTCTCACTGAACCTGGAACCCACCATTTTTAAGTGGTGTACATAGGGATCCAGAGTCTTCCTCAAACACTTTCCACCTTACTTCATGAGGCAGGGTCTCTCACCAATTCTGACTAGTCTAGCTGGTCAGTTTGCCCCTGTCTATGCCTCTTGAGTGTTGGGATTACAAGTGACTGTAACAACTCCATGGCTTTTACCTGGGTTGTGCGGCTCTGAACTCCAGTCCCCACACTTGTGAGGCAAGCACTGAGTCATCTTGCCATGTCTCTTTGGGATAGGCTGGTAGCCAGCAAACCCCAGAGACCCTTCCTGTCTCTGCCTCCATCTGCCCTGCCCAGTGAAGGGGTTACAGGCACACACAGCTATGTCGTGCTTTTTATGTGTGTGCTGAGGATTTGAACTCAAGTCTTTATGCCTGAGCAGAAAGCACTTTACCAGAAAGCAGTTTACGGATTGAACCATCTCCTCAGCCCTGATGGCAATTTTATGTAAATGCAGAGGAAATTCAGCTCTAGGGAAAGAATTGGGGGATGGGGAAGCAAGGGTCTGCCTGCAGGGCTTGGTAGATTATGTTAGGACTCTAATTCTGAGAATATCAGGAAGCAATTTTATACTTTTCTGTGGGGAGAAAATTAGATAAAAATTCAAGTACTTGGTACAATCTATCAAATATATATGGTTCAATATATTTACCTATTATGTCAAAGAGGTCAATGTTAATACGTTCAGGGCCAGTAGAGGATTTCTCATGCATTAGGGTTAAAATTCCATTTGGGCAAAATTCAAGGTTTTTTGTCTTGCTGTGTTATTTACTGTATTTTAGTATAAATTTTTAAAACTGCTCACAAAATTTTACATCAAAAACAAGTCCAGTGAATAAATATTTTTTTAAAGTCAAATGAGAGGGCTGGAGAGATGGCTCAGCCCTTAAGAGCACTGGCTGCTCTTGCAGAGGACCCAGGTTTGATTCCCAGCACCCACATGGTAGCTAACAACTGTCCTTAACTTCAGTTCCAGGGGATCTGATGCCCTGTTCTGACTTCTGTGGGCACTGTATAATACAGGTGCACCTAGCTACATGCAAGCAATACACTCATACACATAAAAAAATAAAAATAAAATATCTTTTAAAAAGTCAACTGAAGCCAGCCACGGTGGTTTACACCTTTAATTCCAGCACTCAGAAAGCAGAGATAAGCATCTCTGTGAGTTCAAGACCAGCATGGTCTACACAGCAAGTTCCATGCCAGCTGGGGCTATAGAGAGAAACCCTCTCTCAAAAAAAAAAAAAGTCAAAAGAAGGCTCAGTGGTTAAAGGCATCCCCAGGACCCACATGGTGGAAGGAAAGAATTTATTTCTGCAAGTTTTCCTGTGACCTCCGCACATGCAACACACACACACACACACACACACACACACACACACACACATACACACACACACAAAATAAATAAATAAATAAATAAATATATTACAAGTATAATCACTAGAATAAATAAAATTCCTAAAGCTCAGTGGTAGAGAGCTTACCTAGCAGCACAAAGCTCTGGTCTCCATTTCTAGAACTGCAAAAAATAAAAAATAAAGTCAGATGAGTATCTACATATATGTATATACACATATGTATGTGCATACATATACATATGTGTGCATATTTGTGTAATATATGCATATTAATTTATATGAAAGAAAGAAATTTTCCTGACAATAAAATTATGGACAACTTTTACAAGCTTTATTACCATATGCTGCTGGATTTTGGCTTTAACAGGCTCTACCAAAATCAGCCCCAAGTCTTATTTCTGGAGACTAGAGAAACATTGGATGAGACTCCAGGAAAACCAGCTTTCAGGGAAAGTACTCAGGACTGAGCCTGCCAGTTCTTATTCCATGCTTCACCTCCCTCTGCCCAGCTGCCGTTATCTGGACCCTTCCTGAGTTCATAGAGACAGAGTCTGAGGAGAAGAAAATGTCAAGTGTCTTGTAAGCATCGATAATTCTGCAAGACTGCTCCAAAGTAATTAATTACTGACTTTTCTCAGCCTCCCAAGTGCCACCTAATACCTTCAATTTATCATTCCCTATGGTTCCTGCTTGTGGAAGGGTGACATCATCATTACAGAGCTGACAGCCAGGGTTTTTAAGTTTCTGGTATCTATCTGCCTGTCACTGCAGTAAGTGTGTGTGTGTGTGTGTGTGTGTGTGTGTGTGTGTGTGTGTGT